TTGCGGGGTCGTGAGTCCAAGGGGTGAATGTGGGGTAAGTCTAAGCATGTTGTACACCACCAGCTGTGGCTTGACTGTAGGTTGCCTCTCTTGCCAACAACGCATTCAAACGACGTTGCCAGGACGGGATTCTGGTTTCGGCGGCCGACTTCTTGCGCTCCCTTCGGCAACCGCGACCCTACATCAGGCGTTGCAAAGTTCGTGCTTCTCCACCTGAGGGTCATGTCTCGCACTGGGTTCATGTTCACCCAGTTTTCTGATGGAGTCCTTGCTGCCCGGTTTGGGGAAGTTTGAGTCTCTAGCTGCGGAACATTTAGAACGACCGGATGGTCCTTGGAGATTCCGAACTTGGCCATTTTTATGTTGAACATTGATCATTTTAGTCTTAGTCTTCTAACAAAAATGTTTTGAAGAACCGAAGAACTGCGAACTTGGAGCTTCTTGAGGCTCTACAGCCTGCGTCAGTTGCCTCAAGAGCTGAAGGACAGCTCCAGCGCTGGGGCGAGAGCCGCCAGAGCACGAGCTTGAAAAACACTGACTTCATGGATGCTGCAGAATGCTTCGAAGAGCTTGAAGGCTTGAGGTGAAAGCCTGTTCTATTTTCTCACCAGAGTTTTGAACTGCCTCAACCATTGAAGGAACAGACGGCTGAAAAGCTAGCCAGCCTTGCTCAAGAGGCACGCAGTGGTTTGGAGTTCTCAAAGTTTGCCCTTTGATGGTCATTCTTCCTCCTTTTTGTTCGAATGTTTCCCAAAGTTGGTGAAATCTTAACGCAAACGCCACTTCCCGACAGACACTCCGTGTGCGACCCACTCTGAGGTGACGAAGATGCAACAAATCCTCAACATGCCCAATTTAAGCGTTCCACGGTCACCGGAAAGACCAGGCACCGGACCAACGGACCACATGTGGAACATTTGTATGGATATATGCATATATACACTTTAGCATATATACTTTATTGTATTGTATCATGTAAATAACTATTGTATATATATATTATCTACTGCACACACTGTTATATAGTGTAGGTTCCAGTGTTATTATGTGTTTTTTTGTCTGTCTTTTTCGATTGCATTGATCTGAGCAGACTTTTATTTGATTGGGATGAGCCACCAAAGTGTTTCGTCCGGTGGGCACAGACAGCTGATGGTCGGCTTGCACCGAGAGTGTTCCAACTTAGGTCCTTAGGTAGAAGACTTGCGATGAAATGCACTTGCTTGAGGCGTCTCTGCATGCGTTGCACCGACCATCCAAAATCCAGGTGCCATTCGATGTGGGTTCTTGTGAAAAGACACTCGTGACCTAGTGATGTTCAAAAACAGGCATTGACAGGATAGATCGGATGGATCAGACGACAGAGATGATCTTTTCACCGACAGAGATGACATGCCGCATTTTTTGATGGATCGATGCACCAGGCTCTGTCGGTGGCTCACAGATGCAGGCGCTCAAGTTTGGCAGCGGGACGAACCGTCTCGATGTCATGCGAACGTCCCAAGATGTCCCACAAAGATGTCTCGATGTGACGTGGGAGTAGCGAGTGGGAGTGGAACATGGGGACTCTTGGACAAACTTTAAGGAACCTACTAGCAATGGCCTCCAACCTAATGGCAATGGCCTCTTGGACATTTGCGGATTGTGTTGAACTCTTCTCCGTTGTTCTCGAACAAAGTGTCTAACCATGAAGCAACACCAAAATTGGCCATCCACTGACTTGCGTAACAAAGGGGTGTTTTACGGCAGTTTTGAGAAGCATTGGCAGCATTGGTGTTGATATTAAAGGATATTGCTGCTATGGTATCGCTATTAGGTTGGAGGCCATTGCTCTTAGGTTGGAGGCTATGGCTATTAGGCTGGAGGCCATTGGTACGAAATATGGCAAGGGAGAGACTGGCTCCTCTGAGCTCATTCTTTGAATCAGTGAATTGAAGGTGCGGAGAGTGACGAAGAACAGGACGGTGAATAAGCCGACCGCACTTTGGAACACCGAGAGCACACAAATGAGAGCACATGTATGGAAGCAGCATGAGAGCACATGCACATATGTGAGTGTATGGATGAGAGCACGAGTATCCGCAGTTAGTTCACAAAGTGCTGCGCGTGCCAATTCCAGAGTCGCAAGACTGTGGTCAAAAATGACAGTTAGAGCACAATTTCACGGCAAAGGCCACGAAAACTGATTGCCACAATGAAAAATGAACTCTCTCAGACTAGTAGGTTGGAGGCCATTGCTAGGTTAGCATCAGGTCAGGTGTAGATGCCCCAAAATGGACTCTCGCCAACTTTAGGGCTGTTCCTTTCGCCGCAGAACTCTGCCGTTTTGTCAGCCCCGAGGCGAATCTTCCCTGCTGTGCAAATTGCGGGGCTGCGCCTCTCGAACGATAGAGACATTTCTCAGTGGGTCTGGGGAGATGTGTTTTTCTATGGTTTTTCTCATGTGTCCCGTGAATGAAAAGGTTTCTGAGTCCTTTTTGAAATCTAGATGAAAGGACTGTGATTTTGTTTTGCTCCACAGTCATCACAGTGGACACCGAGCTGAGCGAGCCATGTGAGGGGTAAATTTCCAGCCTCCTGACACATTGGATAAGTAGGAGGTTCAGTTTCAATGCACATGATTGGAGTTTAAAGCTGTAGGCATGGAATGTGAGGTATGATGAGCTTGACTTGGCAAGTAGAACTGTCAGGGAGCATCCACAGTTTGGATGTTTGGATTGATTGTGTGCTTCTTGTTTGTTTGGGAGACCAGGTATGACCAGGTATGCCTCCGCAGATGTTTTTTCTTGGTTCGAAAGAGATAAAGAGGTTGAGACTCACACCAGACAGAGATAGACAGAGTATGGACATGTATGGACTCTCTTTTGAGGACATGTATATATTTCTATTTAGCTGGATGCCGAGATGTCGACACTTCTTTGTTGGATGTTTAGCATTGTGAAGTGTCGAACCGGGCTCCGGTGCGTTTTTGGCTCCACAGTGGAGTAAACATTCGGAAGCAGCAATCCAAGCTGGCCATGTACGGGGATCACTACAGGCTCGAGGCAGAGACATCATCATGGCAGAGACTTACAAGAGGATGAAGCCGCAACAGATTCGTTCGAGATGAAGAAGGCCAAGGAGCTCCAAAAGCCCAAAGGAGAGAGAAGGAAAGACAACTTCTCGCAAAGTTCCTCGAGGAGCATGGATTTGAGTCCAGTGATGTAAATGCAACGGAAGGCTCAAAACAGACGAAGTGTTTCGGTCTCATCCGTTCGTTTCAGCGACCATTACATCAGCGACCATCAAGGAGAACGACGTGGAAGTGATTTTCTTACTTCTGCGACATGAAGCAGATCCCAATGAAGGATAGCCAGAGATACACCGCTATACGACCATGTAAAGTCATTCGCCCTCCAGACACGCTTGAAAAATCTGCGTGAGAAGTTTCGAAGGAAAGATGACCATATGTTATGTCAAAGATGAGCCAAGTTTCATCCAGTTTCCAGGCATTGAAACGCACTCCAACGGCCAAGGTATGAGACTGAAAATGCCCTCTTCTGCGGGAAGTGTGCCCGTTTGCGTGCTGAGGTGACGGGTTCACAAGCCTGAAGTCCCAACCGCGAAACCTTTCTTTTGTCAGCTCTTCATTTGACATGCATTGACATGCACACAGAAGTCCATGAAATTCCACTGTTTCGGGCAGCATGAGAAAGTCTCCTTCACTGTATGCAGATCCCCACATTCTATTAGGTTGGAGGTTATCGCTACTAGGTTCCTTTTGCTATTAGGTTGGAGGCCATTGCTAGAAGGTTGGAGGCCATCGCTAGAAGGTCGGTTGGAGGCCATCGCTATTAGGTTGGAGGCCACTGCTAGTAGGTTGGTGGAGGCCATGGCTAG